ATATAGGCTATATAAATTTTATGAATTTTTCCACATCAAATGTAAAAAGCAGGAGCTACAGCTTAGGTACAACAGTCTATACTGAATGCTACAAAGAAACTTGAGACTCTAGAGAACTAGACAACAAACAAACTCCTTATATACAAAGTCATCCTAAAGCCCATTTGGACATATGGCCTCTATGGCAGCGCAAGTGATACCAACATAAATATACTTCAGCGACAACAGAACAAGTACCACTGCAAAAGTAGCTTGGTACATAACCAACAACGAAGTTCAATAACACCTTAAAATGAGAACTAAAATCCGTAGACTGACAGCTAAATACAAAGAGCGGTTAAGGTGTCATCCGAACTAACTTGCTCGCCAACTCACCATAAAACAGTATGTGAGACGACTAAAATATCACCATATTCTAGACCTAGAAGACCGGTAGTAGCTCTAGGCAGCAGATGAGTAGATGCTTTCAATGGGAAGCCACTCCACATGACAGTACCACAGAACAGATTCGCTCATAGCCTTAAGGCTGCTTGCAATTTTTTTTTATGAATACAATATAATAAATATGAAAGAATATATTATAAAAAGAAATATATTTTATGAATAATTCAAAGTTATACACCCCTATCCGTTTCGTAGATAGAAACAATTAAAGATACGAGTATTTAGCACATAGCACCAAACTCGAGCGCATCTCCTTAATTGATGTGTCAACTCAGGTCAATTGCCAATATCCTTTCTGATTCTTGGTGTCTAATTGTATGTATGTACTTTGTTACGAATTAAAACTATATTTTATTTAAATCACAAGATACTAGGAAGATAGCTATCCAAATGACAAAACTGAATCCCAGCTGCACACCTTAATTTTTATTTTTATTGGTCGTAAAGGATAAAATTATATGGGTAAGAGATGTCTTTACATTCACTCGTTTTATACCCCTCAAGTCTAGATTTTATAGAGCAGGGGGCAAACGGGCAGAAGGCTCACCTGATGTTCGGTGATACCGCCGCGCATGGACACTCTCAATGCGAGATGGCTCGCGACCCTGCCTTTTAAGAATCGGTACGCTCCTTTCTTAAAGGAACCTAAGTCGAATTGGTTCGATAATACCTCAGTGGGTAGCTGATTCCACAAAGTGGTGATGCGCAGCATCGATAACGATTTTATCCAAAGAAAATTGGGTTGTCGTTGACGTAATTGATGACGTGTCAGGCACAAACATCTATAATTAAAGCTTATCAATTGTATTTTAATAAGAAATAGATGATAATGATGTATCTCTGAAACTGATGAAGTTATTATTTCATAATGTATGAATTGAGTTTTGATTTGCCTCTTTGGTTTGGATTTGATATAAACTGGAAATTAATTAAGAATCAACGGGTAAAGGAGGAAAATTTTGTTGTGTATATAAGCCAATTCTATGTATTTGTGGTTTTAAGAATACAATGCTTCATCCATTAGTCAGCCGGTGTTAATTTAAGTGGAATTAATTTGCTTACTGCAAGGTGTTTTTTTGCAATGGAAGGTGAAGGTTTCTATAGTTCCTTAAACGCTAGCCTTGCTATAACAAGTTTTTGCCTAATAATTTCGTTTTTAGATTACAAAATTAAAATTGTTTTTTTGTATAGAGTTGGTGGTCTCCAGTTTATCCTTGTTTTTTAGTAATAGATGATACCTATTGAAACTACTTCATAAATTTAACTTTGAAGAACAAACTTGATTATGTATTTTTCAATTTTAGAACCGGGTAAAAAGAAAGAATATTGAATATTTTCCCTTGAAGTACTATTATACTAACTTATTTTATATCTACCCATATGAAACTAGAAAAATGTAAGTAATATATATCCATTTTCGCCGAAAACTTTCAAGCTTTCTTACAAGCCGTTCTTCTATCTTAACTAAGAATCAATACGAGTCGTTAATAATTCACAAAGAACCAAATTCATTATTCAATTGTCGTATGATAAAGCTTCCTGCTCTATTGGGGTTTGATTAAATTGTATTCTATAAATTCTCTAGAGTGAACTCAGGTAACTCGAAACGTATACAACAAAACTTAAAAGTTGACAGCGAAGATTCAACGTAATAAATTAATGAAAAGAGAACGAAAAAACTTATTAGGGTTCGAATTTTAAAGAGGCGGCGTGTTTACTGGTATAGAAAAAGTGAGCTCTTCTATTTGCCTCTGACCTCAAGTTTGACAATGGCTTCTAAAATGAAATATGGCGGACGAGAAGATTAGTCTCTTATATTGTTAGTTTGGTGCAGCAGTTTGTCGTTTAAAACGCCTTTTTAATCACATGACGAAGGTATGTTTTCTTAAGTACCTGTCATATTCGATAGAACTTTTCTATCAAATGATTTATTTGTTTCAGTTTTTATTGGTATACCGCTGGGGGATGAAAAAATCCAAAAGGAAATCGGTTTAATTAATGAATTAGTAAGCAATTCATCAATGTCAATTGTCATTGCATACAATGATCTACTTAAGCATGTTCCTAACAGATAAGAGGCTCGGTTGTGAAGTAACCGGTGTACCAGCTAACAATAGTTGCCGACGTTCTCAGAACCGGTCCTCGCTCCTGAGGGCAGCGTCCGCCGAATTTCGCGTCGACCACCCATGGGTCTGCATCTTAACGCCTATATTTTATTACTAGACTAGTGACCCGATGCCGTACGGGATTTTTTAAATTTACCTACAGAATTACAAGTGCAATATCGTCACTGTTGAATAATAACCTCGTATGACCAGAGAACCAAACATTACAGCAAACGAAAAAAAATTCATTTCGTCAATGTTCGTTTAAATATTATCATGTGCTTTTGTCCAGTTTTGTATGGTAAAAAGGACTTATTTATTAATAACATAATAAGTCCTTATTTCATTAGATTATATCAGTTAAATGACATAAGAGTCTAAGAATAAAAAATAAATGGTTTTTGACACTACAGTGACGATATGTTGTTACGTTTTTAAGTCAAATACTAATAAATAAATACGGTGTTTAAAAATGGGTTCTACTTGAAAGAGGTAGAGAATTGATTACTCCTGTTTTCTACCTATGGGAAACGCGGACCACCCGCTGTTGTCCCAACTACAATCGTAAAGTAACCCAACTTTTTGTATAGCCAATAATTCTCGCACTATAGATAAGATTTCACAGGTATAATTAACTAATCACTTCTCCAGATTAAAAATTAACATGTAAATACATTTTCTGACATAATACATAAATAAATTAGAGCGATAGACGGAGAACTAGATTGCCTTTGCCTTGCTGATGCCACATATAACGGAGATGACGCATCTACTAAAATATATTGGCAGTGATTATTAATACTCCAATTTAGATTTAATAATTTTAAAACTTTGCGTTCAACGGATTAAAACTAATAAATCCGGGTTAATGTAAAATTTTATGACAGCACGATAATAACGGAACAGGTTGATGAAACATAAACCATCTCGAATATGATACTGGTAACCAATGTCTGTGTTTAAGGCTCGATAAATCCCGAGGCAATACGCCCAGCCCTGACCACAGTTCATTGAGTAAACCTGTAGTTGCTGGCGCAGCCGTGTCATTGTGTGCGTCTGTGTGTACAACCTTTGTTCGTTGTTAACTTATTGAAGCTCGCCGGTCACCGACGCTTCTATATCTAACAGTGGTTATTGTATACTTTATTGATTCTGTAGATTTTTTCCCACCAACTATCAGATCAGACGTATTGATTATGGTAAAAATCATTAACACGTTCTACTTGACAACTAAATCGGTTTAGAACAAATCAATTACTGTACGAATATGTTACCAGCACAGAATTTACCTTAAGCCGTATTGAAGGAAAATTGTTTAATATCTACAGCTCTGAAACAAGTTTTCACCAGTAACAAGTTTCTAAGTCAATCGTCATCTTAGATGGCTATAGTACTATAAACTTATGGCCACTGGGCAGGTTTGGAGGGAAAGCTAACTTTCTGAATACCGATTGGTTAAAAGTAAAAGCAATATTTAAATTATATTATGCAAGATTAATACATGGAATTAAAATACGTCATTTAGTCGTCATTGTATTGTTAAAATTCACACATGGTTACAGTATAAACGTTTATATATAGAGTATAGAAACCGTAGATAACGTGTCAGAGGTAAATAACCTGACCTAGTTAATGTATACAACCTGCTGATTTAAGTGAAGTCAAGATAAGGTTAAATAATGCATTTTATATTAAGGTTTCATCAACACGAAATAACTACTTCTAGGAAATCGGATTGTTGTACTTGTAATTCTATTTTTGTAGATTTGGTTATGCAGTTCTTGCACCCTTTGTTTCTTAGTTTTCTTTCCTTATTAGGGTTGTCTGGAAAAGATCAGGCCGCCCGTTGCATTCCTAATAATTAATGTTATTTGTTTTTCTTTTATTGAAACGAATATAATACAAATAAATAAATATTATGTATATCAAAATCAAGTTCTATGAAAACGTCCGTCAATGTATCCGATTTCAAAATTTAATCTAATTTTAACAATTGAACAGTTATTTTGTGATCTTTGTTTTGCACAAAAGCATTCCTTTTGTCCGATATTTAAAATCGAAAAAGTGACTATATGACCAGTAGACTTAAACACAATACAAATCGATGACAAAAGAACCTTAAAACGCGATAAGAAAACATTCAACGTTTTTAAAATCGGTTACAGATAAGCGTAAGTTTGCTTAGCTGTTTAAATAGTTTGGTAGCAACACGCGACTATACCGAGAACTCGGCACTCTTCAGTATCTCTTTATTTACAATTATTATCTTCACGGATGTTTAATAATTATCTATCGGTTTACGATGTGTTTTTAGCTTTAAATGTTATCGTGTGTACACACTATGTTGTTCATTCGAACGTACTGTAAGGTCTGAATTAAGGGAACTCCAAAATTCAATATGTTATTGACATACGAAAGTCATACTTAGGGTAAGATTCAGAAGCACGAACTATGACGCCCGTTCGTTTGTTTAAGACAAACGCCAATCGGCAGGAGGCTCACCTGATGTTAAGTGATAGCTGCACGTTGCCAGTAGTCCCGCAAGTGCGTTGCCGGCCTTTAAAATTTGACGATTTATGTAGTAAGAGAGTCAGACTTACTCACGAGTTATATAAATGTATACATTAAATATACTATATTTATTTTAACTAGACAGTCAAAACCAGTATACAAAGCCAAGCTTCCAAGAACAATTAAAGACAGCTTTAGACCAACTAAACTCGTTCGATATTTAACAGCAACAGCAAAAACATAAACCTATAATTAATTAACGGCTATAACAGTTATTATCCTTGTAGCGCAAACATTGCAATTAATATGGCGACATGTGAATGTCCTGTATGATCTTACCTACAACTTGCAAGACAATGTAAAATCAGTTCTGTCCTGCTCTCTACATACTAAACAGTTAGGTGTATGAACCGCAAACGATGCACTGCATTCTTTAGTTTCACTTTAAATAGGATTTTATACCTTTGCTGCTATTATAATATTTTTTTTAAAGTTCTCTTCTATACGTTATGTGGAAGGGAGAATTGGCTGAAAAATGGAATAGTTCCTTAAAGAAATTTCTGCACAAACAGTAAATTAATGAATAGTATTTTTTTTAATTTATTTATTATATACATAATCTTAAATAGAAAATAAGTTGGTGTGGTGGAAACAGTTTTTCTGTCCACCAGGACGTCGAACATATTTAAATAACTAACTTATATATACTAAGGCCAGTGACATATACACTATAATATTATAACCATTATATTGTTATACGTTCATACGATTTTTTTAAATAAGTATATTTCTAATTCCCTTATGTAGGCGTGATGCTTCTAATTGATACACCGCAGCGCCGTGGGATCGGAGCGCGCGCCGCTGGCGGTCTTTGTCGCTTCGCTCTGTGATACCCGAAGAGCCTTATTCCTTAAAATTTCTTAGAATTGTCGAGTGCATATTAAAGAAATATATTACATTACTTACTGGGAAGCGTTCGTAATTTTTAGTGTTAAGCAATTCAAAGTATTTTTCCAACAATCTAAAAAAATCAGTAAAGGCGCCGGCAACTTTTGACCACATTAAGCTGAAAAACAAAAAAACTTTGCGAAGAGAGTGACGGGGGTTTTATTGCCAGCTCTCGTCCATTCTACGCCCTTGATAGGGAAACTGGCAGTAAATAAAAATTTAAATTTAATTTATTTATTTAAATTTTCTTTTTATTATTACTATGTAGGTTAAAAAAATTGTAAGTAAATACTGTATATTTGATTGTTATGTTTAGGTTTTTTAACAATATTTTCGAAAAACCAAGAAAAAATATATTTATATATAAGTTAGGAAATATTTGTTGTAAAAGGAAACAAATCTTGGCAATACTTTTTAACTGATCAGCCTCTGTATTTAAAAGTTGTTTTCCTTCCTATGAATTACGATAAAATCTGCTCCACTTCATCCGATATATCAAAATAGAAGGGCCATATAGGTTGTTGAGCAAGAACCAGTTCACATATACTGCCCAACCTTAAGAGCAATTAAATGTACCCACTAATGTGTATGACGATGTTAAGAGGCCATGTAAGGCTTTTTATGCACGGTGCTTTCATTCCATACACGACAGTTTTGACAAGTTTGATAAAGTATTGAACGCTGTCGTGTGCATTTAAAAGGCGACCAGGGGTGCGTCAGTGGTTACACGGAAAACAAATATTATTAACATTTATAAGTACAATTCAATTACTGATTGCTGAGACGTTAACTGAGTAACGGAGACGTTAGTCATTTTCCAGCAGTGCTGGCTGCGTGCGACTTTCAATCCAGAGGTCGTAGGTTCGAACCCCGGCTTTGCACCAATGGACTTTCTGTTTGCGCATTTAACACTCGCTCATACGGTGAAGGAAAACATCGTGAGGATAGGTGATCAGAGAAAAGCGTTACTGGAATTCGCTACTGAATTATTATTAGTAAGTCATTTAACTGACAATTTTATTGCGAAATACAGTTTCAGTTGATAATTAATACTTGTTTTCTTACTAGACTTCAACAATCCCTGACCATACGGGGGAACAAGAGAATGAGTCTATGAAAGCTATCGTATATATCTATATCTGAGTAAAATTCAAAACGTTCCATATATATTTTTTCGATTGAGGTTCTATATTTAAAAAAATTAAAAAAAAAAACGTAAAATTTAAATTATAAAACCAAAGATTTATATATTATTTAAGCTCTTCGATTTAAGTTCTCTTAAACAGTCAGCCCTATTTTGATTTATAGTCAATACTAGCAAAAATAAAAAAACCATTGGGCAGAATATAATTTTACTACCCATAATATTATTACACGGTCTGGCTTGTAAAGAGACCGATGTTATCTTTGATGCTACAGATAACGCAGCTTATACAAATCGTAAATCACGCACTAATAAACTAATTATAGTTCTCAATGACGGAGTTTCTTACATCATGTCATTTCTGAGCAAATTTACCTCACATCATATACATACTGTTTCATCTTCTTCATCTTATACGCTTAGATTTCTTCTAGGCGCTTGTGCAATCATAGATTCCAAAGCAACTTTTGTCCCGAATTTCTTCCATTTGGATCCCTCTGTGAGAAAACCACTTATCATACTTTTAGAGATCTAAGTGTAAATCTTTATATAAACTCGACAAATAAATATTTCAATTTTAAAATGAGTAACAAGAGCCCAATCTTAACGTTTATATACATAATATATGTATTTATAAGTTAATGATAGTACATAGATGGAGGTATACATACAGGGTACCTACCCTGTAAGTATTACGGTGGCGCCAATCCAAGTATTGGATACTATACCTCCTCAAATGCAAGTTGTATAGGGATGTAAATGGGTGGCGATAACATTCAGATTAGCCCTTTAAGCAATAAAGCGCTGTAGCCTTCCGCTGTTCTACCGCATGGAGTATGTAAGCCCTAAGAGGCAAAGTAAACAGCAGTAAATTATACAGTTGTCAACGTCACGCTCAGCACGTGTGGTGAAAGCCAGGTGTTCAGACCACACCTTTACTTTCCTGTTCATTCACACGTACCTTACCTTCATACAAATCATGGTGAAAACAGTCGCCGAATCTTCCTGGCATTAGGTAATTCATTTGAAGAGCGTGTATTATTATATAGAATAATCCAATATTAAAATAAAGGTCCAATTTAATTAAAGATTGAAGTTTTTATTTGTCATCAGTTTACGTTGTAGCTAAAAATTGGTTACCTTAATTATTATTGATGTTTTGGTCTTTGATTTACCTGAATTTTTAACATTATATACATATCGACTTTCGGGTGCTTTTCAGCGAACATGTCAGCAGTGACTGCCACATCAACATAACAGATTAATTTTTGATGTTATGATTATAGTCTATGGAAATGTTTCTACGAGTATATTAACGCTATTGGCGCGAGGTCAGTATTTGCTATATCGAGCTTTTTTGTTGCGGATACAATTGTTTTTGTATTATCTGGGGTTTTAATACATTTACAACCGAATCTGTGGAGATGAAAAGTTCTGAACCATCTTCCCACTTTCAATTCAAGTATTTTGAATTCGGAATAGTTTATGCGAATAATAGCGTTTTATGCGAATAAGTTTATTAAATGTTAGACAATATGACAATGTTTACCGTGTGAAAGTTGGGACACATTTCTTATCTTGATTCTTGAATGTCTGGAACGCCAATGACGTCACTCGCTCCAGGGTGTATCCCAGCACTTCATTGAACACATTCCAAATTACCTTATGACTCATAAGTTCAATTAAAATGTTACTAGCGAGACATGTACTTATCAGCATTCTTCGTGACGCATTTTCCTTGTATCGAATTGGTTTGGCTGCAGTTTTAAGGTTGAAAATTGATTATGCGTAATTCTTACATAAATTTAAATTGACATGATAATAGTATTCTGCATCACTATTATTTTTAGACTAAATAAATGATTGGCGTTTCAACCTATTTAGGTCTGGGCCTCAGATTTCTGTATCTGTTTATGATCATTTGTCAATCTAATAGGCAAGTAGGTGATCAGCCTCCTGCGCTTGACACGCGTTGTGACTGTTTGGGTCTAAGGCAAGCTGGTGTCCTCACGATGTTTACTTCACCGTTCGAGCGAATTTTAAATGCGCACATAGAAAGAAAATCCATTGGTGCACAGCCAGGGACGATCCTACGACCTCAGGGCCAACACTTTACTTTAAATATATCCCCATCTTATAAAGGGATTAATACTTTTTTTTAATTATGTTTGTGTAGTGTACCTACTGATTATCACATCTGATCTTACAACTTTTAGATAGGTTTAATGAGAATCACGGAAATTGCGTTGGTTTATGAATTATGCGAGAAAATTTATATACATAATCTGTTAAGTTCTACGGTCTACTGAATTTATTATTGATAGGTATCTTGACTGAGCTTACTATGCGAGTTGTTTGAAGTGGCGATTTGTGTGTAACCATTTGTATAGACAAACGTTTAGGTACCTGGAATATTTTTTCAGTAACTACAATATTAACCAACACAGTCGCTTTATTTCTTATATAGCTTTTAATCTGAGCCTAAAAAGGTGAGTATTTAAAATTTTAATTTCTTAAAGTTAAATTGATGGCACATTTCTGTATCTGTCTTATATGATGAGATCTCTCCTAGGAGATAATTTAAGGGACTAATTTGATAACGACAAATAGTTAATTAAGAATATTATATGCCCGTGTCACTTGAATTTATTTTTCTAATTCTTTAGTCCTAATGTTTAACATCTTACTTCGTCGACATTGGTGACCTACATACTTCCATAGTTGATCTGCGCGGACGCATCGATCCGATTACATGATCGCTTCGAGTCATTCCTGAGTGACATCATTTCAAATATTATTGGATATTATGAAAATTATAAATGAGAATCGGATTAATAATTATGTTTTTAAATAATAGTTGAATTTTCGAAAACTTTAACTTAACAATAACTTTTTTAAATTATTATAATAATAACGAGCGGACCCAACAGACGTCCCGTAA